CGAAACTGTCGTTTTCCGCTGCCTTGTGTCGCCATCTAGCGGCGGAGAGACGAATTACAACCAGATCAGCGTGAAGAGGGGTGGAGACACAAAAAGAAAATCCAGGGAAGAAAATTCAAACGCTCTTCCTGGAAATAGTAAAGAACCCGCCACAACTTCACCACATGACATTTCAGAAAGAAAATGCGACACTCCCTCTCAACCCCGACAGATCCTCTCATCTTTACGTCCAAATAACCGCATTTTACCCACAAACGAAGCAAACGCACCATTACGCACCGCGCGCTCCTAGTTTTATTTTGTGCTTCGACACAAACCAGATTGCGACATCACCGAGTCCTTCCCGTAAACTATTCCCCTCATCTCCGTATGACATCACCAACTCCAGTTTCAGGATGAATTTATGGAGGAAAAATCACAATTAAAAACCTCCGTGGAGCTAAAAGTTAAACGCGTTTCCATGCAAAGTTGAATCACTCCGAAAATTATAATACATTTACTTTCAAATCTCATAAAAACGGGGATTAAGGACTAAATCACGTGTAATATAATGCCTTTTATTCATCTAGTTTTGTGCTTTTTTCCTGCAGGATTTACCACAGGAAGAACCTAGAGTTGGTGTTGCGTTTAAGGACACATCCTAATTCCTACCTTTCATGATGTAATCCAGAGCCTCGCAGGTAAAAAAAAAAACACTAATAACAGTGAAAACCGTGCACACAGCAGCCCATCTTCTCCAGTCACGGATGACGCAGCCCCCCTAAAATCCACTCTCCCTCCCATCCCAAATATATAAAGAAATCCATCAACGTCCAAAATGCGTTTGGATGCGCACTTGTCCGCGCTGAGGACATTAAAAAAAGAGGAAATAGTCCAAAACGAGGTGACGATCAGTGATGATGCACAGTCATATCATCGCCTTTCTAAACGATTGCACAGCTCTTTCCCTCTGAGCTGGCACCGAAATTAATGAATTAATTAAAATAAAAACGAAACGCACGCCACGCAGCTCGCTGCTACGCGGTGATCCGAGCAGGGAGTCCTTAAAGAAATTGCGCAGTTTTTATTCCATTGAAACGGAGGCTGGTTCCTCCTCCCTCCTCCCTCTCTCTCTTCTCCCTCTTGCAGGTTTATTTTCAGAGGAGGATTCTCGGACACCAACTGCCCCGCCTCCTCAGTCACTGTACAACTCTGCCCCCCTCCCAAAAATTCCTTTATAAATCCAATGGAGAGCTCCCCCCATCCCTCTCTGGTCCAGCAGTCAGCCTCATTTCTTGCCAGCAGCTCAGGGAAGCATCAAAAGTTGTGCCTCATGTCTCCTAGACCTGCCAGGTACTTTTTTTTTTTTAAGAAACTGGGAAACAAGGGCACAGTCATGGTGGGAAACCTAAAACTTAGGGACAGATTTGATTGAGATGTCTTTCAGGAGCATTAACAGGGACTCTTCGGGTATGGCAAGCCCATTTGTCAAAATAATGAATTGATGGTTACATGGTTTGTCTAGACATTAGATGTGAGAGAACATCACAAATCACCAGACTATCTTCAAGCTGGCTCTTGGGCGTGCTCGAGACTGGAACACTTTAGGTATGGCAAGTTACGGTAATCTATCAGTTATTTAGTTGTTAATGCCTACCCTGTGGGGGTGGGGGGGGGGGGGGGGGGGAGTAGAGCACATCCATGCAGGACATATTGATTAAGATGTCTCTCAGAAGTATTGGGGACAGGGACTCTTTGGGTATGGCAAGCCCATTTGTCAAAATAATAAATTGATGGCTACATGGTTTGTGTAGCCATTAGAATTGACAGAACATCACTTCAGAAATCACCAGACTATCTCCAACTTGGGGCAGCACGGTGGTGCAACTGGTAGAGCTGCTGCCTCTCAGCGAGCAGGTCCTTGGCTCAAACCCCGGTCCAGGGGCCTTTCTGGGTGGAGTTTGCATGTTCTCTCTGTGCATGCGTGGGTTTTCTCCGGGTGCTCCGGTTTCCTCCCACAGACCAAAAACATGCATGTTCATGCAGAGGTTCACAAACCTTTACCACTCACAGATGTGTAATACTGGACTATTTACCTTAATAAATAAATGACCAAGTATAATACATTTGTTTAACTGGGTTCTCTTTATCTACTTTTTGGACTGGTGTGAAAATCTGGTGATGATTTAACAGAAAAAAGCTGAAAGGAGCTGAAGCAAGCCAAAATTAGCATTTGATTGAGCATTTGATTATATGTTGTAATGGCGTGCCATACAGTGAAAGGTGCCTGTTTCAAGTAGGCCATATTCAACAGAAGTTTTTTCTAGCCTTTATATATATTTTTAAATATCTTGGATTAAAGAGTTCCAGATCATATTTTATATGTGATTATTACCAAATAATACGAGTAAATCGTTCTCGCTCCACATTTACGTTCTGGTTCAGTTGAATATTCGTCACAACCAGAAAGAGAAAAAGCCCATTTGAATTTAAATTCAGCACGTTGCCCTCCCTCCACCTCCCACCAACTAGAGACCACCAGTGCACACTCGCACTCAGAGCTGGGTTTGATAAAGAGGCTCTTCAACCCTGAGGAAGTCTGTTGGGTCTTTGAGAGGGAGGACAATCCTTATTTCTGAATACAACCTTGAACTGCACCTACCCCCTTTTTACTGGTTCCCCTCTCTCAATGCTGAATCCTTCTTTCTCCAGGGTCCTTCTCTTGTTTTGTTTCCTCCCCCCTCCTCTTTTCAGGGGTTTTGAGCCGAGTCCCTTCCAGAGTGGAAGTCTGGGCCTTCTTTCTCTCAGGCGGCGCCGACCGAGCGGCTCCAAAACGTCTTGTTCACGAAGCTTCATTAGAATTCATTTGTTTGAACGGGTCCAACTTCTCCTTCAGTCTCTGCCTCATTTCTGTCCGCCATGAAGGGCAGTTACGTAATCGCCTGTGTTTGTGGTCATCGGCCTGTTAGCAAAATATCTCATGGACCACTGGACAGATTTTACTGAAACAGAAAGTAATCTTTAAATATATACAAATACAACACCTTTGTGATGTTAACCTGCAGGAATCTTATGAATCCATCCATCCATCCATCCATC